ACCTTACGCAGCAGATCGGAATGGCCGTGCAAGTCTCAACAGTTCTGGTCGCAACAAGATCACTAATTACTACAAAAATTGCTATGATCTTGTGGTGACTGCAGGTCGACGCAAGTAACTCCGGGCATGTATGCATGGATGCATGTTTGCACGCATGCAGTACACATACATGTACGTCCCATATGTTCGTGTGCATGTGTGTGTCGGTGCATGCGGCTTTTACGGCCATTAACCGTCTGCTGCATTTTCGCACACCCTGTCCTGAGGATCTACATACGCAACGCAAGCGCGTAGTGCTTATTCGCCGTACTTTATGCTCTCACTCGACTCGGAGGCTTCCGTGAACAAAACATATCATAGTAGCAATGTCAAACTGGTCTGTTTGGTAAATTGGAAGTATTGGTGCTGTGTTCTTTTACTGTTTTTGGTGTGGCTTGATTGTGCAGAGTTGGTTGTGGTTGTTGTTGGTGTCCTGTTGTGGTTAAAGCCTCAACCCATGTGCGTGTCCATGCTTACGTAAATGTATACTTCGTTTGTATCTAAGTACACGAATATGTGTACATTAATATATGTATGTATGAGGTGTGTCGATGGACGGACGGATGGACGGACAGGCTGATGTGCGGATGCTTGCATGGATTCCTGCGAAATCAGCACGACATGATACGACAACGAGTACTGCCCCATGTGCTGCAGCCGCTGTGTGTCGACTGTACTCCTGACTAGGGCACGCATGTGCTATGCGCTTTAGGATGTATGCTATAGGGCTTGGGCTTGGGAGCTCTTGTGACTCTTGTGGCATTGAGGGATGGACGCAGAGCACGGATGCTGACCCTATGCGCTCGGGCATGGACATAACGCTGGCTCGGGTCTGGAAGCTGTGATGACCTTCTGCGCTCGCGGGTGGACTTGATCATGGTTCGGGCATGAATACTCCCAGAGAGAACGGGAGGAGGCCAAGGGGGCAGGGCACATGGCGCTCTAGTTGAAGCAACGCATCTCTAAGTAAAGCGCCCTCCTACTTGCCATAACCCAGGACACAGCGTGCGACCGCATGGAAAAAAGATGATGATCAGCAGGAACGCCAGCTCCAAACAAAGACAACACAGCAGTACGGTAAATTCAAGCATGCACCAGGGCAGGTTATATGATGTGGCTCAGCGACAGAGTATTCACCACTACGGCTGAGTACCATGCAGATATGGACACATCTATAGATGTACCCATTTTGTAAGCAGACCCGGCATCAACACAGTCAGCTGTCAGCTTGTATTGTAGTCGTTCAACCCTAGGCCTAGACCTACGTAGAAACTCAGGGCCGGACACAGGCTCTCCATCGTCATCCAGCTCATCGAAATACAGGACCGCGCGCCCCATGTGATTGCAACCAAGATAATACTGTAGACGCCTGCCGTCGGAAGTCTGCCGCTGGAAAATCGGGTAACCTCAGCCACTAAGGTCCACGGGACCCCCCGAGTGCCGTACTATGCCGTACTAGTCCTGGTTAGACTGTAGATTGGTGTCGGACTGATTTGGCTTCAAGCGAGGAACCGCCAAAACTGTTGACAATGTCAGAGTCCAACCACGTAGTCTCGTCAATGGTTCCGTCCTCGTCGGAGGTCCCCGAAACATGCATAGACATGTCGCCGCATTTCTGGACAGTGTTGATTGCCCCCGGCTCCACACTGCGGCTTGCCGTGTCAAGCCGCACGGCTTCCACAGCAGCAACCGCCACAAGAGCACATGTTCGAAGCATCAAGACCATGGATGTGCACTTTTGCAAACTACCCTTGCTTCTGGCAACGGCAGCAGAAGTACGACAGAGTTGCCAGGTGAGTGCAGAGGCGCGGTGCTTCAGCTTCACAGCTTGCCATCTGCATCGCATTCCTGTCCCAATACTGTGTTTCCTTCTTTAAAGCTCCTTAACATGGTGTATGAACCAATAGAGTCCCTCTTCCAAGGAGTCCTCTCTTCGCTGCTCGAAGACTGGAAATGAACAATGCTCGTTCAAGGACCCTGCAACCCTGCAGTCCGAGCATTCGACGGCCGAAGAAAGTCGGATTTGGAGTCAAACGACCGGTGCTGCCTCACATTCGGCTAGCCGGGTGCCGCACGCATGATGGCTGCTGTGGTTGAAGTGCTGCATCCGAGAGTTTCATGAGACAGCGTTGTTTTTTGCGGCCGCTCGTGCAGCAGCTCTTGCAATTCGCACACCCCCTTGGCAGCTTTCGTGAACAACTGGCTTTCGGGGCGGCTCCACTGCTCTCCAGTCTGAGTGATTCCAATCCGAGACCATTGCCTTTTCGCGCATGTGGAGGGGCCTTACAGTAGCATACTTAGCACAATTTCTGATCAACAATACCTGCGGGTGTGCGGCGTGCAGCTTCCCCGCTCCAGGGTGTCGCGTGTCTTGCAATGGCCTGGCTGTAACTTACACAGTACCGAGCTTCAAGTTTCAGCATCGGGAGCTGCATGCAAAGCAACGGCTTCAAATCAAACGCGGGCTTCAAGCAGCCAGCTGAACCCAAGAATGTCCTTGGCTACGACATCTTGCCTCAGCACAAGCCATTTTCGGCTCAAAGCTGGAGCATCACTCTCGTCTTCCAGGCGTCTGCATCCACGGTGAGCTGAGAAGCAGGCGGCAACTGTTTCCAAGCCTTGGCATCTTTGTAGTGAAGCTGTTTATTGGCGGTCCTGCCACTACTTAGGGTCCAATCCGTGTTGGGTATACTAGGACTTCATTACGCGCAGTGTACTTGTTTCTTGATGAAAGTACCGCGACCCGTCCGCATGTGATGCAAGGCTCAAAAACCTGCTTGTTGACAGGAGGTAGGGTTATGCAAAACACTTATCTCACAAGCTTGGTTGCCTGCCTCGTCCATGTGCAGAAGCCCAGCCCGTCCCTCAAACTCGCCCACTGGGCTTCCCAGCTGACTGCGCTGGGAAGATCATCTCACGTCGTCCCAGACGAGCAGCTGCAGGCCTTGTCGACGTCGCGCGGGGAGAACAAACAGAAGAGACACATGAAGAAACGAACCATTGTGAATGGCGTCGCTCGCAGCGTTACGAGAAAGAGCTATATTCGTAGGAGGAGCGGTGGCTCACGAGGCATGGAGTTAGTGAAGGTCTTTGGCTGTTTCTTCTACGATTCTACAGTAGTCCGTCTATGGCCACTTCTACCTGCCTACCACTGTTGCCTCGTCAGACTCACCAAGTCTGTGTACGCAAGAACAATCCGCAAAATGATCCACGGCAGACCGACAAACCAACCTGCAATTTCCAGCCGTAAGCCCAGCACACGGTGCAGCGGCCCAGGGGACATGACCTTAACTAGCACTGTGAAGTTACAGGATCGTGCTGTGCCCGGGGGAAGCCGAGCTTCAAACTTGCCACTGCGGATCCAGGGAAGCACGCAGCTCTTGTGGAAAGCCTGCCATCGATCCGTTCACATTATCATCGAGGCTTCAAGTCAAGCCAGACAAGCTTGACGCATGCCAACAAGCTGGACGGGATTGCATGGCCGCATGGGAGCCTGCGCCTGTAGCAAATGCCAAATCACCTCTTTCCCTGCGCGTACTTGGAGCCAAGGGCGGTGCCAAGCAAGTCGGACCACCCGCTGGACCTCCGTTTGCATCTCTCTTTGCCCTAGGAGTCTATCGTGTGCGAAGCCGTTGTAAGTCCTACCAAACATCTCAATCCGCTCGGTCATCAATTTTCGCCGCGCTGATGTCTTCGGAGCTTCGCAATGCATGGTGAGCCGGCGTCAGTTATAAGGAAAGTCTGAATTGCGGAGGCCATTGGCGATTCTGCAGCTTCCAAGGCCAGCAACCACCAGATCTCTCACCCAAACTCTTGAGTGCTCGACGGTACTATCGGAGTCTGGCGCATCGGACCCGACCACCTGTGGTAGCAGACAGTCATTGTATCACCGGCCAGTCGCTCGGACGGTGGCGTCTGTTGGAAAGTCTCGAATCAGAGTTGGCAGGTCTAGTCGCTTCAGTGAAAGAAACTCCTTTATCTGCCGCTACCACACCCTGCCACAAACGTCGTGTTCATACGAAAAGGCACGGCTGCAGCTACATGGGCAGGTTTGATGTGCATGAGCGAAGCCTCCGTCACGCCTCCGAGGCAGATGGCGCAGACCTTGATCTGAAATCGCTCTAAATCAAGATTCCTTTCCTGATAGCTGCGAATCTCGGGCCTCCGTAGCCTAAAAGGGAATGATTAGTCATCGGTGTGCCAAACCCTCAGCCCCCTCTGTAAGCTCAAATCGATCAAAGCAGGGCTGAGGAGGAGGCGGAGCCTTCCTCGGCACCTGCCATGTGCTCAATGGTTCAGTAGTTGCCGACTTGAGAATACATCAGTCATAAGGCTGAAAGTTTCTTGGACCGAGGATTTTCCGAAAGCTTCGGAAGGCTGGGGGCTCGGCGCAGGGGATCCAGGCCGGAGTTCTGATACACAGACTCCCGGAGTTCCTTGCCCAGGCACACGCGATGCTTCACCAACAAACCGAGCTCATGAAACAGGAACAAGGGCTGCGAAATGGGACCAAGGTCTAGGTCCCGGTGGCCTCTGCACATGCAACTCAAACTTTTTTGTCATGAATAAACGCTTCCGTGCCCAAAACCAGCTTTGGGCAAACTATATACACTTGCCAGCCTACCGTGTGTAAGCCACTTCACTACCTGTACTTCGAAATTTGCCTGCTTGCGGCATCATGTTTCGCAGCCGTGAAGACTGAATTAGGCACGGGGAGTGCCAGGACAAACATTTGCACCGAAGCGGAGGCTGCTAAGATGTCTTTCCATCTCATGAGCTCCCCAAGAAACTTGCTGAATTCAAAACCGTGCGTCTGAGCAGCTTCTTTTGGCATGCTCATTTGAGCACCCACTAAATCATGTGGCTCTTCCCGAATTGCCAACAGCCTCTGCCCGCAGCACAGCAGTAGAGAAGCGGGCCGTTGAGCAATATCGGGCCGCGCAAGTTCTGCCACTGCGCGACTATGCTGACTCTATGCGTCTCGCCCGGTAATCCTTAGGTCAACGAAGAGGCGTGAATACCTCGCCCCCTGCCCACAAGCTTTCGCAAGATTTCTCTGCACACACACACACACACCACGGCTCGCTTCAATGCAATCCCTCTACCGCTTCTCGAAAAATTCTGGGATTTCTGCCGGGCCACGGCCCGGCAAACTGGACAGTGCCTCGAAGCCGCTCGACCGGAGAAGGACCAGCTCACGACACAGGCCTGCTTTGACTCTTGGACCGTGCAGTCTATCGGTCTATGGAACGCTCAAGAGTCTGGGAAATCCTGGCTAGCAACTGGAGAGGCGGGCAGGACCCTATCTCGGCCTCGCAAAACATGTGCCCGCAGGGAAGGATTGCAAGTGCATCGCCTGCCTCAAAATCCTGAGCTCGCGAGTGCTTGCTCTCATCTGTGGGGGGACTTTCCAATCCACAGGGAAAGTGGGAACGAACTGTCGACAAGCAGCGGCGAGGCAGCAAACGCAGCTGTCGCCGCCCTTGTCAGCAGCAGCGTGGCAGCTGCCCGCAGGTCCAAGACACTCCAGCCGAGCCTTCCCCCCCGACCGAGCTCCCTCGATGCGGAAGCGAAGGAGATCCTGCCAGCTCGAGAATCATTCGACGCCATGATCTGTGAGACTCTAGGACTCTATAGGCAGGTTCTTTGACACGCCCTGGCTGCTGAAAAGCCGCAAGGGTGGAGTCGCTCTCCCCGTAAGTCGCACGAGCCCATTTCCTGTACACCTCAGACTGGCTATCGGGCTGCGTCCGGTTCGGACAAGGCAAACAAGCCCTCTATATGTCCGATTTCGGCGCTGACACTGGGACAGGCCAGGCGAGGTTATTGGTTCGCAATCTGTCCGGTTTGAGACACTGGGGTCGCTTCGCTTGGAGCTTCGAGGTTCCGCAAAAGTGACGAGATCACAGGAACCCTGAAAAAGGCGTCGCCCGGCGGGCGTCCCCGCCTTGTAAGTGTCGTCGTCCTTTCGGGGCCGAGGCTGGGTCACGGCTTTCCTCTGAATGATCAGGAAAAGGGTGACCTTGGAGCTCTGATATAATACATGATATATATATATATATAGATGTATATATATATATATATATAAGGATATATAGATATACTACAAGATGCTGTAAGCCAAGGATTTCATTAAGCAGTATGGGTGCTGTCATGACTGAGCTGTCTGCAGGCTTCGAAAGGACCAAGGGCTTGCTTTCAAGGTGGTCTTCAAGGGAGCCGAGGGATTGGCTACAAAACCGGATATTGTCGACAAGGCGGCTGGTAGAAGCAGGCATCCCGCTGCCACATAGATCAAATCCCATGGGCTTGACAGCATGTTGTGCACGGCGAAAAGGAGCGAGCTCAGCACGGCCCCGATGAAGAGAAGGATCTTGTCCAAGCACGCGACGGGCTTGTCAAAGAAAGTCGGAACTCTCCCGTGTGCCTCAAGGCACATGAACTCTCGGCAGCTTTGGGAACGATCGAAGCCTAATCTAACCCCAAGGGTCGCAGTACCCAATAATCATACACGCTCCAAAATCCTGACCCAAATAACTACTATCCTAAAACAGACTACCTACTTGTTGGGTGTTTTGGACCCTTAGGGTAACGGTGGCCAGGGGACCCAAGGCGGGCGCGAACTGTTGCGAGTTTGCGGTCTGCGGCCTGGGTCGGGGAGAGGCTCAAAGAACTCCCAGTGCTACAGAAGTATCATGTGGATGTGCGAGATTATATAGATTATGTAACTTGAATACTGATACTGATACTGGTATTAAAGGTTATGCAACTTAAATACTACCGATACTGGTATTGATAGCGCTGTCAACATGAATGTTGTTGATATTAATGGTGATATCAATGTACCGTTGAAAGCAGTCGCCTCTCAACCAGGCTGGCAGCTGCAGCCACTCCTCCGCCTCGGAAAGAGGACTTGATGCAGACATGTGCAGCTCAAATAGTCTTACCCTTGAAGTGGTGAGGATTCATATTGCCGAACTGCTGACTAACTATGCTCTGGCGTGAATGCGCCGGTACGGACGCAGTAGGTGCAGAATTGGCAAATATGGTGGTGACAGCGGTAGGCGTGCCATGATCCACTTGTGAAACTAAGTGCTTCAGAGTCGCGGGCACTCTCGCGTTCGACGCACCTGAATTGTGCACATCCTCTCTGGGGCGGCCAATAACCACAGAAGCCATGGCGGCGAGTACGAGTGATATGCACGTGCTGAGAGCGAACTCTACTGACTCAAAGGTCTCCTGAGCTGATCGACTGGAAACTTTGACTTGTGGGTCGGAGGCTCTGCTGCTGCTCGGGCCAGATGGAAGTCGACATACACACACACACACAGACAGACACACCATGCAAAGCAGGTTGGGGCTCTTGGGCTTCACCACAGCCTGGTTGCAAGTCTGTCTCAAGCCTCCACATTGCACGGCGCGCCGCTGATTGACATGGGCACGAACCTCACAACATCACGCTGCGCACTTCGGCATCCGTGTGAGAAGCTTGTTGCTCATTCCTACTGCGGCTGACAAAGGAACACCTTGCACCGAGGACTCTGCGGGCGGAGATTTCCATCGCTGCAGGGGCTGCCAGACACCACCCTCGCTTCAAACGTGTCTCGGCACGTTAGAGACTGCTTTAAGACTGTGGTCCCTGGCATCGCATGAACCTCCAGCTCGCTGTCGCTGCCTGTCGCTGCTCTCCCCATCTCCCCTCTCCGCCCTCCGGGTGCTCAGCCGAGGCTTCGGCTGTCACATGCACTCCATGCACTCGTGCTGGCATCGCTCCCCTCGGTCCCATGGCACACACACACACACAAACACACACACACTCTCTCTCTATCTGTCTCCTTGCTTCTCCAGCGCTACATCTACACCTGGGCTCTCTGCAGCACTGTCGGTGCTTCCCAAACGCAGGAGGCGGCTACTGCTACCTCAGTCTCTCTTGTCACGCTGTCTTGCGCCGAAGAGCGGAATCGTCTGGGCTCCGAGCCCAGGTTGAGAGCAGAGGCCTTCGTAGTCGCGATGCGCGCGGCCTCCCGCATGACCTCACGGAGACCACGGCACTGCATGAAAATCCCACGTGGGCAGCAACTTCACTTCAGCTTGTGCGCACCTCCGGCGGGCAAGCTGGTATGGGACCCCATCGAGCCTCGCAAACCTCCGCAGAACTTCATCGTTGGAACTGCGCGAAGCTTTACCTATTGTCAACAGTGTCGTTCTGGTCTTTCTCGCGTCTGCATGGCGCTGCGGGGGCAGGCCTGTCCCAGCACGGGAGCCTCGGCAAAATAAAACTTGCAAAGTTGCGGCCGGGGCAAGCACAATAGTGGAGCAGGAGTCGGAGGAGGAGGAAGTGTACACTATAGAGGCCTTCATAATCAGAATAGGGTTTGGGGATACATAATACAATAATAAGGAACCCCCCCCCCCCCCCTTCAGCACCAAATCGCTGCAAGGCCCCCGCCCGGGTTCGTCTCCAGGGCCTCGAAGACTCGGGGTTTCATGGGCACTCCACGGCCGCGAAGCTTCGACGCGATTGAGCAGGGCACCCCCAGAAGTGCCGCTCAAGCCTCGGCTCTTTCATTTCCATACGATCTAACGATGTCCAGCACAACATTAAGATACTAATATGCAGTAGTAGATTTCAACAAAACAGTCGCGTCTAAGGGCAGTGAGCCTTCTAGAACAGCTCGCCCTCGCTCGCCGCAGCTTACTGTAGACTTACCTTATTTGGTTAGTAGGGAATGGAACAATTATATAACTACCATTGCTACCATTCTTCCATTCCCTACTAACCAAAGGTTACTGTAGAAGATCCATCTGAGCTCCTAACTCTCGCAGGCGGTCCAAACTCATCCTTAGCGGCACTTTCGACTCAGCGTAGCGTTTTGAAGGGAAACCTGAAGTACGGATCCTGTTCGTGTCGTATAGTGTAGTATAGTATGGAATATAGGATATAGTATATAGTGAGAGAGTATACAGTATGCTGTTTCGAGCTGTGTGCATGCGTCCCTGTTGTCTGAACCTCCCACTTGGCTTCCTCGGTTGTCCACAGCTGAAGATGCAAAAGAATTGGCTGGCATGTGGGGATTGGGCTGGCAAGAAACTTTTTCCAGCATACTTGCTGTGTGCTAACGCCCATCAAGTCTGAATTTGGAGGTCAGGCTTTCCCTAGAGCCTAGGAAACTTGAGTCGCTGCAGGAAGTATCGAGCATCCAAGCTGACCTCCACTGCGACATTTGCTGCAGCCAGCTTCTATAGGCTCTGCAGGCTCACACCTATCGTCAAAGACAGGCTCAGCTGGTTTCCAGCTAGCTGCTCAACTTTAATTCAGACAACCGACTCACCGATCATCAGGCTATCTGCGTGCTGCACTGCCCTCATGGTAACGAGAGCAGCCGTCCAAGAGGCGACTGGCACATGGACAGAACCACATCAGATGTTAGCCGCGCCAGTGCCACAGCTGTCCCAATAGCTGCTCAAAAAACAAGTTTGGAACCGCAGCTTGCAACTCTCGCCGTCTACGTCCAGGCCATCACAAGTGACTTGGCAAAGGTACTGTGGAATCCAACGTAGAAACGGGCCTGGCCGTTTTGCAGGAGAACTGGTGAGACATTCCATAAGTGCAGAAACGTCCCACTCCAAACTTCTGCTCAAGGCATCGTGGCTCAGTCCACACTGATGACCTCTGCTCTGCACATGCCAAACAGCAGAGCATGCAGCTTCTAATACTTAGACCTATCCATTGCACAGAGTCAGCCCGCTCGTGTAGCTGAACTGCACTGCAGCTCAACACCTCCTATGCTGGTCAAGTGGCTCGACCTTTCCGTCTCTCGCGCATCTGCTGTCGTTTTTCTTCCTCTTCCTCCGCTTTCTTCTTCACAACCTCCTGAGACATGTCGGACGGATGAGAGGCGGGCAAGTCAAGCAGCACATCTCCAGGGGTGGGGCTAGTTTCGGATCGCTTGTCGGGATTACGGATCAAAGGTAATATAAGCAGTTTCGAGCCCACCACGTGAAGGTTGAGGGGATTTGCGGCTCGAGTTTCACGGCTCGTGTGTGAGGTCGTTAGTCACCGTTAGTCATACGTGTAGTTTACAGCCAAACAGCCATGAACCGCGCACACGTTCTTGAGCCAAACAGGTAGCCATTGTTTTCCTCAGGCCTCGGGAGAAAAGGACTGTGAAGACTACAAATCAAGGGCACGCACCAGGTTACCATGCAGTGTACGGTGAACGCTGGAGCCCTGTTGATGTTTTGGTAGCAGCCTGGGCGGAACAAAGAGCAGGACGCTTGCATGCCTTGCCTACCCTGCTTCAAGCCCTTGTGTTTTAGTAGCAGCGTAGGCAGTTGCGCCTTCTCTGCTGTGAAGAAAATCTCGGTACCTTTATACCATGACGGCCGCCGCCCACCCTGCTGTGAACACTCCAAGCCCCAGTGATGTTTCACGATCCGAAACTGCTCCCCGCGTCTTCTGAGACAGCCCCGGGCCGTTCCCAAACTCCAACCCGAAACTGCACCCCGAAACGCCCAACTTCCCACACCTCTGTTGTAGACACCTTTGTCAGGAATGACATGGGATTACGTGAGCGACTGGGCCTTCCAACATAAGCTCGGAGGTGCGACCAGCCTCTTTGGACAAGCCCGAGTACTTCTTCTTGATCTTCACCACTTTCTTCTTCGGCGCTGCCTTGGCCTCTCATGAAAGCAAAGGCTCAAGGAAGCAAAGCATTGAACCACAACCCATCGTATATAGCAGGTAGATCACTCAAGTCTGAGATCGCCTCACCAGTCTTCTGCTTCTTCTTCGCCTGAAAGAAAGGTCTGTCTGTGTAACAACAACTTTGAGGCATTTTTTAAATGCATATGTTATAATCTATAAGCATCCCTCAACCGCTTCCTTGCAAATCCTGAAAGACCCTCATAAAACCTGCTGCAGCCTGGCCTCCTGACGTGCTGTCGGGTGGTCACCCCAAGCCATAAGCCCTTATATGAACCCTACATTGCCCGACACACGTTTTCAGCATGGGCTTGGATTGTGTGCCAGCGAACGCTCCCCTTAATTCCTAAACCCCTCGAAGCATCAGTTCGGGCCTGGCCCGAGCCCGATGAGCTCGAAGAGTTCTTTTTCTCTTCGGGCGGCGAACCTCTCAGCCAGGCCTCGGGGCGGGGTGAGAACGCATCCATAAGAGCAATACGACAGCAACGATTATCGTAAGACCATCATGAGAAGCACCCGGCACTCTTGAGGCATTATCTGTCAAGTGAAGTCTCACACCGACCAGATAACAACATACCTCCTTCTACTGCATCTATCGAACCCGCAGTTTACGAGGCTTCTGTAGCGATGGGAGCTGGTGCAGCTGCAGCTGGCGTGAATGTGCTGCAGAAAAGATTCCGGCAAGTTCGTCTCACCAACGAACATGCCTCGTCAAGCTTCGGATCTATCCGTCGAAGAGATTACGAGACACCACATCGGGCGGCCATGCAGCAGACTTTCACGTGTAAAGGCGCCAAAATCAATCGGGAATCCATTTCATCCAAGATTCCACCCGCGGGTCCTGCCGCCCACTGCCTCGCCCAGGGAGAGGTCGCGTCCGTCTTCAGCTCCGCAGTGGGTGGCACATAGCCCTTCACACTCGCCTTCACACCTGGCAGCACCGATGGCGAACCATGACACATACACCGCAATCGGAACTGGTGTGGAGCCGGAAATTCGCAAAGCAACAAAATGCCCAAAAGAGCCTGGAATGGCCCCCACTGCTGCGGCTGCGAGGAGATTGTACTCCTCGATGCTCTCAGGCTTTGGGCAATTGCACCTTGCTTTTTGCGGAAAGCAACCCGCACAAGAGAGAGAGAGAGAAAGAGAGAGAGAAAGATGCAGGTTGAACTTGCCAGGCATGGGTGGACCCCGCCTGCCGCAGACAGGATTTCTTGCGAAGCACACAGCTCTACATTTGGGACAGCTCCAGTCTCCCGGCTGTCCTGGCTCACAAATCCAACGAAAACTGTTGGAAACAAACAGCTGAAGCAAGTACACATCTGCGTCCTGTGGGTGACTCAAACGGGTCTGTCTGCCCTGCACCGGGCAGGGGCGTCCCATAAGACCCAGCGATCGGTCGCTGCGCACCACAGGATTTGCAGGAGATGTTTCCTCGAGACTCGAAACTCAAAGAAGCAGCCATTCCCAGGCTTCCCATGTCAGAAACTCAAAGCACGGGCTCTCGGTGGCTCTCAGTGGCTCGTGGATCCCTTTCGGCAAGCGGCGAGCGAAATTCACCGCCTTGCAGAATTGGCAGGACCAGTCTCCTGGGTTCCTGCCACCTGGAGCGCCTTGTGGGATGGATCCAGGCACTGCTAGGGTCGTCACATTCGCCATGGATGGCGAAGGGCAAATTGCAATTTCCCGCTCGTCGTAGGCGGCTATGCCGTGCAGGCACGAGCTCGGCACAGTTTGAAGGTGTGCTGAGTTTGAGTGGTCTGCGGGTCAATTATGTCATGACGTTACGAAGCTGTGTTTCTGTTGCTGGTCTATATGACATCCTCCAAAGTAAGGAAAGGGTTGCGACTGCAAAACCACAAGCGCGTGATTCAGTTGAGAGCCCGTATCGTGATTGTTCTTGCTTCTGCGGCAGGCTTCCCAAGACCCTGACGGTGTGAGCGCGAAACCATCAGATGATGGCGGCTCGGGTCCTCAACGCTCAGTTGACACCCAACTCCAGAATTGGTCTGAATCGAAGTCAACACTCTTGAAAGGGCGCTGGCTGAAGGTTGCGATCAGCTCCCCGCTATGGTGGCGCCGCCTCGGCCAAACTTGTGCCCTGAGTGCCCTGCCTCTGCCGCCCCGGGCCCGTCGGAGGCATCTGAGGCATCTGCAGCTCGTACCTCCCCCAGCCTTTCAGCGAGACTCATGTCATACCCTGGCCTTGATAGCTACGAGGCTCAGGCGGCCGCCTACGCAACTCAAGCGCCCACCTCGAAGATCCCCCAAGGCCTCCGCATGGCTGCGTTGCATCTTCGGCCAGAAAATTTCCACGGTACCACGGAAGCAGCTCCTGCTCTCTACAGTAATTCCACCGTCATGGCTTGAGTGGCCCACCATTTTCTGCCAGGTCGGCGCTGACTTCGCCGTTGGCCTCGGCTGGCGGTGGTCTGAATCTGAGGCACTGCGGCACCACTGGGTTGCCCGGCCGCGCCCGCAAAAGCATGATTCTTGGAGGGCCCTACAGTCACAGTTGTCAGGTGTTCGGCAGTTGAGCCTCAAAAGGCTTCCGAAATAATTACTGAGCTCAACACCCAGCACCCTGGCATCAGTACCTCTCAGCGCCGAGCTCCAGTCAAGAAGACAAATGCTGAAACGGAGGGGCACCCTCATCACTAGCACAAGGTGGCGGCCCGAAGCTGCCCCCCGCACCTGGGCTATCGCGCAATCTTTTCTCATGCCCCTTCCGCCCTTCGTAGCCGAGCTTGCAGCCCACGATGCCAAAAGGCCACGTTCGACACACGACGCGCGATCCTGGCGACCGCAACATGGTGCACCAGCATTTGCAGAGCCAAGATCCGGCAAAACGACAACGACATCACCCACTTGGTGCACCCACTTAATGAGCACCTCCATCGTGCGCTGGCTCAGAAGCAAGTCTCCTGCACCATTGGAAGCCCTCTTAATGCGTCCGCTCTCATGAGTTACCGACGGTCACGCGCACGCCAGCTACTGTCTTGATTGGTTCATCGGTCAGTGGTCACACTGCCTTTGGAAGGCTGCCGGACGAGCGCACACCTGCCCGATCGGGCCATGGAAATCTTCGGGAGCTTGGGGCATAGGGTTGAAACAACAGGAAAACGACACGGTGCCGTTTGGACAGCACAAGAAAGCGGCATGCTTCGTGTGCACCTGAGCTTCTGGTCTTCCATCTCCTCCTGCGTCATGTTGCACCTGCCAGGCACTCGGAGAACAGCATTTTTTTTTACCGCAAACCGTCAAGTCTTCTGCATCCTCCCCGCCTTTCTTCCGGAAGTGAGGGCCCGGACAGGCCAAGCGGCGAGCCAAAACGGCTGAGAACATCAAGGCGCATCGTGTCAGACAAGCCTTGTGCGGAAGGCCTTGTGAAGCACAGCACGATGATGCCGGTGCTGCTGCACATGTGACGGGTCACTCAAGCAAGTGATCAACAACTGGCACAATCTCTCGTTCTTTTCTCAATCGTCGCGCGACGATGAAGCGCGTGGCAGGGGGTTCGAACACTCAGGTATGCGCTGTGCCTTATCTAGCAGAGAACCTTGCTCTGCCCACTCCGACTCCACCCTGCCATGCAGCTGAAAATCCATATCCGAATGCCTCGTGAAACGTGCCACTGGACCTGTCATCCGTAGAAATGGGACGTTTATGACGAAGAGAGAAAGACGACGTTGAAGGATGACAGCGTTGGCCGGGGTTTTTTGGGAGGTCCGCGTGGCTTCGAGGAGATCAAACTGTCCTGTGAAGTTAGAGGCAGGCCGAGGACCGGCCTTAAAAAGATACCGCGAGCATCTGCAGCAAAGATTGATCAAGCACACACTTCCGGATCACAACTGGCAGTTACTGTACAGTGCTTGCTGCAGAAATGCCGCTCGATGAACAAGGTTCAAGGCCTATATCTCGGGCCGAACTGAAAGCGAGAAAGTGCTAAACGCACCGTACATTTCTGTTGAAGACTTCTCTTCAAGCATTCTCCAGCAAGACAGCCTCCTGGTTTCTCAGCTTGTCCTCCTCACAACCAGTCAAGTCAAGCTGCTTGAACCAGGCTGCCGCGCTTCTTAGACTGCTTGCTTGCTTTGTGCGCAGCTAAGCAGCGAAATTGGATCCCAGGACTTCGCCACCACCGAAAGCGATGGGCGTTTTCCCCTTGACGCCCATTGGATCCTTGGGCACCTCGGGGGACGAGCACTTCGCTTCTTTTCGTGGTATCAGAAAAATTCAGAAAGCACCACAAGGAGTCAAGTTCCAGGGGAAGGCGCGAACTCGTCCTTCTTCGCCAGGATGGATTCGTCAATCGCTTTCAGGCCCTGTAGGGACAGCCCGTCCGCGGACGGCACTGCAAAAGTTTTCTACGAGTCCGACTCCCATGGCTTATCCACCTAAGTCTTTCTTGTTGCATGAAGCCGAGAGGGAACATCCGGAGATTTCGTCGCTCCTTCGTGGGCTCGCCAGCTGCTCTGCAAGCGACCTTACAGTTTCGGGTGGAGAGGCCACTTCCGAGCACACATTCGGGCCGAGAACCCTCGCTCCGGTCTTAGTCCCAGCGTGCCGCCGAGACGCAACCTCCGCAGCAAGCTTCCCGCCGAGAACAGCACCCTCCATGCTGCCCAAGAATTTCCTCACAGCTAGGATTAGCGGCGATTAGCAATTATGACTAGAGCTGGCCAAACCAACACGTAGATGGGAGAAAGATACATTTCAGATGATGTCGCGTGACTGGCTGGTCCAATCACCGGCCAGGGTGAAGTTCTTGATTGGTGTCTCCTGTACAGTTCCAGCCAGCCAACACACTCGTAACTCCTACCTGTCCCTTCGTGCTTTTTGCATGACCTAAGTCCACGTAAAGCGCTTGTCCTGGGACGGTCGGAACTTGTTGCGACCCGGAATGGCAGCATAGACACTTCGAGGCACCTCCGGGAGGATCCACGATAGCACACAATGGCACACATGGATTCACCAAACCAGCGGCGAGCCTTCACCACAGCATGCTTGATGAGCTTTGCACCGCCTTTGCAACACTTGGGGCGGGACCAGCTCAAAGCTGGAGTGCGAGCGTGATGTCGTAAGCCCAATGTTCACTTGGCGAGGTTGATGTACACTCATATGCATAGAATACGCACACGCGCAAAACGGACCGACCGGTAACCACGCACCTGTCAACATGCCAACACCGCCACGTCTCTACATGCAAACCTGCACAAGAAAACACACCTGTCGCATCACTCAAGTGGGACAGCGGGCCATCGGGCAGATGCGGGCCGATCTCGGTGGGGAAAAGGCGCTCCAATTCCTGCAGCTCAAGATACCCACACACACACAGAACACACACTCACACACACACATGCCCTGACTTTCAAATCCACGTCTTGATGGACAAATCTGTATGTGCGCATGCATGCATGCATTGTTGGCTCCCGAATGCGCATGCATGTATGTATGTGTGCATGTCTGTAATTACGTATGTATGCATGCAAGCATGTCTGCATGCATTCATGCATGTGCGCATGTATGCATGCGCGTGTGCATGCATGCATGGTGCCTGTGCGTGTGCATGCATCTCCTACCTACCTACCGACCTACCTGCGTATCTATTGTGTGTGGGTCTAGCCGTATAGAGCCTTGAATCTCTCGCTGACGCGACAGCAGCAACAACTGGAAGATCCGAGGACCAACGCGAGCGCAAGCTCTCCAAAAAAATTTTGACGTAGAGTAGTAACACTCATGTTCGCCTTCATGGTGGCGTCGACGATGTCCTGATCGCTCTTGCCCATCCTAAGTATGCGACTTTCTTGGCCAAGGCGCGCTGATGCTTGCTAGCACTCGTCTTTGAGACGCAAAGCAAGTTCGACTATGCGATGCTAGAGTCCAGTTTGTGTTGCCACCTGCGATTGGCGAGCAGGGAGCAAAGACCAGCTCTAGCATCGACTTGTCCTGGCAGCTTCGGGGAACCCAACGAATTTCAGAAGCCGTGCTCCTCTGTGGGTCTCTGTTTCCAGTTTGCCAGACGGTTCTGGCGCATAAAGAGACAACATAAGAAAACTCTACGAGCCTGGTCTTCGTACTCCTTGCCTCGGTTCCAGCATGAGACAGTCCGCCAGGCTTGTCGAAGGTTCAGGGCTTTGCCTCCTACTTAGCAGGGACGAAGGTGCAATGCAGTATGGACGATTGGCCCCTTGAATCAGTCGCTCAGCCTTGTGTGGTTTAGGGTTTCGACGTCGACTCTAACGCTCGCGCGCGGCAGGCAAGGGTCCACACAATCCAGGCTCACACGCAAATGCAGCGAGCAGGATAACCAGAACCAATGTAAGACCTTCATGACTCATGACACCAGTGCTTACCCTGACAAGTGACTCGCCAGGTACTGAATGGTTTCGACTTGGTGCACTTCTATACTGTATGGTTTCGAGACGAATGCTCGCGAGAAGCAGGCACGGATACTGTGGTTTAGTGTTTATAGGCTTGCTGGTACTACAACGCAAAACCGGCTTTCCTGCGTTCACTTTCTGCATACCAGGCTGCAGCATGTGCTCATGTCCGCATACACAGACAGGAGCGGACTTCTGCTGAAGCAGAGATGGTTCACGTTGAGGAGCCTCGCCATTCCCGCCGGAGAATCTGTCCGGACACCCCCCAGCACTAGAACCTGAATCAGCCTTCCAGACACGGGAAGCAGACCAAGTGCTGCAGAGCGTCTTACGATCAAACCAGAGATGGATGTTGATTACTGGAATGCCTCACAGACAGCGGAGCTTTTCAAATCATGTAAAAGCCGACCTTCTGAGACTCTCCCTCCGCACGCCGCATCGCGCTGCGCCACGCCTTCCAGCTCGTCGATCTGCCGGAAGAATGGATCCGTGGACCAGGCCTTTGGAAGGATGCGCTTCATGATGTCGCACGGGACCTTATCTTGGCTTGGAGAGCGGAAATGCATCTTGAGCCGGTGACCAATTTGTTCAGGAAGCGGAGGTGATGTACTCGTCTGCAACCACCTTCTCACCGTCGCGCATGAGGAAGTGCTTCACGGAGCCATCCTCGTTGGTCTCGATACCTGGGCAAAGTCCAGTCGAGCCCGACGCCCAACTGCGAATACAAAGAAGAACGTGAGATATCTAAAGATCGGACTCTACCGTCCGCCCGACACGCAACAGACTCAGCGAAGCAACATGCTTTTTTTGTGCAAGGCGCTGGCCAGAGGCTTGTTCAGCAGCACCTGGCCACCCCTTGCCTCGATATACTGCTTCATGGGCTCGCAGAGTCGCAGCGTCTGATTGCCATCCAGGAAAGCCATCTGAAGGCCTCGGAAGCTTCGACCCCAAAGACCCCTCTTCCTCTGCCTGCTCGCTGGACATCACAAGATCCATAAGGGTCCCCATGATGGGATTCCGAAACGCGTGGCAGGATTTTTTGCTGTCTGTGCCGTGCATGTGCAGACCAAGCTGAGGCAAAGCAAGCACAACACGGTTCAACAGGTCGGGATGCCGTCCGTCTCGTTCAGGAACCGGTTCATGGCCGTGAGCACCTTGGCTAGGCTGTGCCGGCTTTGGCCATGTACCGCCCTGGTGCCGGTGCCTGGGGCTTCGGGGAATACGGATACCAGCTTACGACAGGCTTGGGGCCGCATCGCATCGTGCATCGTACATGGCTGTGAGTACGACAGGCTTGGATGTGCCGGCTGGGGCCATGTACCGTTCCTTGGTTCCTTGGGGCTTACGGGCTGGGCTTCGGGCATCTGGCTGAAGGCACAATGCAGACACAGCATGTTTTGAATCCCAAGCAGCAGTGTTGAACGCGATCCCAAGCGGCAATCTTTGAATGCATAGGCGCATAACTAAACGAGTAGACTCTGTGATCTTGCTCGTAAGATGAAATTAACGGATATGCAAGCATGAATCCTCAGCCTTCGACATGTTAATGCAGTCAGCACGACAGTCTTTGTGCGAAGCTTTCTCACTCACCCCTCCTTGGAATGTAGTGCCGCCGTGAGCACCACGGTCATTGAGAGCTTCTCCGGGTCGATAAAGTCCAACGCCTTTGCCATGGCAATGAACACCTCGGTGTTGATCCTGGCATGTAGCAAGCAAGGTCTTGGTCTGATTCGCCCAAGGTGACGGAAATTCAGGCTTTTGCCCTATCCCATAGCCAAAAACAGCGGTCCTGTCAGGCATTCCGTACTTTTCCATGAAATTGAAGACCTGGGCAGGCCGAGAAGCATTACTTTCCATTGTAACCCCCACTCTTCTTAACCCGCCAAGTCACAGATAGCTCATCCTGCAGGTCGATGAACTTTTGGCCTTCAACCAGCATCGGCAGAAGGGCCGGAGCTGTCTGCAGCTTCTCGGGAAGCGTGAGCATCTTCCTGGTTGCGGGTATCATGGATGCGCACACGGAAAACTTACCTTTGGTTAGTAGGGAATGGAGGGATGGGGTACAATTATAACTACTATTACTTCCATTCTTCCATTCCCTACAAACCAAAGGCAAGAAAAAAGAGCTGCTCTCCCCAGCGCCCTCGGCTGGTGGTCGGGCGTCTGGTTCAGGAGGATGGACAAACCAAAGTTGAAAGGCGCCGGGATGCCCTCGAGAAAGTCAAAGGTCGTGAACTCCCCAGGCAGCTCCTGGGGTGCACTTACATACTATGTATACTATTTTACATATATATATATATATATGTATATATATATAGCATATATTTGTATATGTCGTGTATATGTATAGAGAGAGAGTGTGTGTGTGTATGTTTATATACATATTTAGAGTATATTGAGACACTGCGCTGCATTCTGCAAGTGCCACGTGGGAATTAGGGGATCCCTCACCCGGCTGCGCCTGCATCGCGAAGATCATCTGGTGACGTTTCCACTGCAGCCGATCTTCGATGTCGAGCTCTTTGAACAGGTTCATCCTTATGGCTCCGTCAGATCGCATCTGTGGCAGAATTTTTAGTGGCGCCCTCCGAAAGATAACCTGCCAAAAAGGCTCATGTTCGGATAAGCGCCGAAGAAGATATGCAAGCCTGCAGGACATGAAACCATGTCTCGGGCATGGATCTACACTGTACACCTGCGCAAACACAGAGCCACTCATTTGGGGGGCACGGCACCTGTCTCAACCCAGTCGCCGTCCTTATCCTGCCATGCGGAGACTTTGCCACCTGAAGAGCCCATGTCAGAAGTTCTGAAGGATAAGCTGCTTTCTAGTCTCGTCGTGTGCTCTTGGCGCGACGTCCTGCAGGCGTCAGTGCAAGCCAAGAAACCCAGGCAGTCACGCGCTTCTAAGACGATGGGCTTGTGGCCAGCATCCACCAGGTACTTGGCACACGCAAGGCCTGCAGAGCAGACGGTGCCTGTCTGCAGAAGCGCAAACTGCACATGTATCCGCGAACCTGACAGACCGCCTCCGATGATCGCGACCTGAGCAGTCCACTCGTCACAGGCTGCCTGCTACCTTTAAGATTCATGGTGCACTGCCAAGAATTCAGAAGAGTCACCGTCTTGGACTCACCCTTGCCCTTGAGGCCGGCAATCTTGCTTGAGAGCGCCTCTCCCTCCAAGTAGTTGTCCTTGGGAACTTAAGACTTGAGCCGAGCTTCACAGGAAATCGGAACAGGCTAAGCTTGCATACAAAGCTGAGGTTACGATGGACTGCAGCAAAGAAGCCGTCTTGTCGATCATCGGGGGCTTGGGGAAGTCTGTCGGATCCTCCGGCTCGTTGTTGGCAGGGTTTACCGTCCTGGCGGCTTCAGCGCGTCCGACGCCACGACCCTGCCAGCCTGTCTGAGAAAACCATCCCTGCCTAAGAGAAACCTACCACCCGACTACCAAAGCCCCAGAGCACGCTGCTCCCGTCTGTCGGCGAAAAGTCGTGAGGACGGAAACCTGAACCTGAAAGGTTTGCCAGTGCATTGCAGACAAACTGCAGAAGACCGGACCAGCCCCAAAGCCGAAGCCTCCACTGAAAGACTCGAAACCCTTGGCTCTACTTCGTCGAAGGTCTCCTTGTGCGAGACTCCGCCTTGATAGCTGTTTTCCTCCCTCGGCTTCGGGCGGCGACCGCGCCGGCAGAGGCGAGGCAGAGGGCAGTCCTGAGCGGAGGAGCATGAGTGATACCAGTTCAGCAAGCAATGAAGAAGACGAAACAGAAGACGAGGAGGAAGAAGAAGAAGCACATCAAGCACGAGCCACAGCAACAGCAACAGCAGCAACGGCAGCAGCACAACTAGTTACGGATTACAATCTCAAGCTACCAAACTCCACCACTGCTATATAGTGGAAAGGCAGCCATGAGTAAACAAGCTAAGCATAGCAGATCACAGTAGTACATGCTTGGGACTTCCAGTGACGCAGAATGGAAACTTGGCTGCAATAATGCAGACACAACAACAAACCACGAATTACCAACATAAACAGTGGCGGTGACGTCGGCACTGTTGGGACTGCACTGCAGAGGCAAGAGTTAACAGTACAAACACAAGCCAATAAACAACACATGAAGCTGAATCGTCGATTAAAGCAAAATTGGAACGAGTGTGTCTTTACCCAGTAATTCGCAGAGGCCAGTCATTATCCTACCGATGGTTCCCCAAATCTTCGATGTTCAAGTAGGCAGCATGACAGAGCCTTGAGGACGCTTAAAGGGCAGGTAGACGAGGAAACAGAGGAAAGACCATGGGATGGCTGCACTTCTTCTGCTGCACAGAACTTGCACTCACTTTTGAGATAGCAGAACAAGGCTCGCCAAATTGCAATTGCTAACACTCTCGAACTAAGAATGCCGGTCATGCTGATGTTTTGGGGCATATGCTTCCTCGCATGCGGATTATCACTTCACTCGCAAGAGCTGCAGCCGAAACCATGGTCGGTGACACTCATGATCGCACCCAAAGGTACGACCATCAGCCTAGACCAGAGGGCGAACTCTTATCGGCTGCACTCATGGCAGCCAGGGGTCCCGGTTGACATTCCATGGCCTTCACTCCTGATCGGAGTCGACTGGGCCTGCAGGAGATGTAGACGATGTATTTACAGTACAGTTTTAGCATGGCATGGCATAGCATAGAAGACTAGTACATCCTGCCAGCCTTCGAAAGAGCCGGCGCCGAAACGCCTTGAGGAGGAAGGCCCTGCACGAAGGTCAGGCTCATGGCCTCAGGGGGTTTGCGGATAACATCAGCAGGCATGGACCAGCAAAGAGCTCTGTAGACCTGCCCTAAGTGCCAGACGGCCAGATTCTGAAAAGCCTCAAACTAGTGAACTGCCTTGAAAACGGCTTCGACCAGCTTGTTTTCTGGGTGTGACACTTGCCTCAACAGCGACATGTGATCTTATGAATGGCTGACGAAACACTTTTCTCTCGCGCGCATGTTGCGTTCGCAAAGTCATGCGGCACTGAAGCGGCTCCTGCATTTCCCGATCCAACGAACCCCTTAAGGGGTCGAAGGATGGAAGGGAATCCGCCAGCCAAGGACTGCTTTCTCAGAGAAGCTCAAGAAGTCGGTTCCGCCGGCTCGAACCTGCCACGGCCTGCACCAGCAACCCAAGGTCAAGCCTTCATAAGTTTCATAAGTCATAAGGTTAGGCAAACGTGCGGCATAAGCCCCACCCCTCGACTCTGAACCCTCTGCAGTGCCCAAGTCACGCAGAGCCACCTTTTCCATTGCAACTGTGCGCGGAATGCACGGCATGTGCCCTCATCCCGCTGCTGTTGGCACTCAAGTCAGGCATGGTTTCATTCATGACCTAGATACGGTATGTAGCAGCGGTGTCGAGGAGAGAACATGTCTGTGCTGTCGGCACGGGTCGTTAACGAACAGTGTCCTACAACCTAGATCGGAATACCTTCCGGGGGGATATGTTCATCCAGCCAGCTCAGAGCTTCATCAAGCATGTCGTTGGGAACCACCCGACGCAGGAAGTCCCAGGTACCTCCGTTCCACCTAGCGAGGCAGAGAGAACAAGCACTGAATGGAATGCCCATCGTCAAGAATACATGTGCATGCACAGTGAAGCATGCACGCACACACACACACACACACACACACACAGCGCACACACGTGTAAGGTAAGTGTACGTATACACACCTCGATACGCTTGCTTCATGTTTCCATATGGTTTATATGCATGCATGCATGCATGCATGCATGCAGCCGCCACAAATGCATGGATGCATGTATGTGTGTATGTATGTGCGCAAGTGTGCGTGTGCTTGCATGTATTTATGTTTGTATGGATGGATGGATGGATGGACGTCTGTATGCGTATGTATCTATGCATGCATATTTTCCATAGGCATCATGTGCAAAGAAGCCATCCCCGGATAGATCTTTAACATAGAGACAACGGACAGATAGATAAGCCGATAGATAACCAACATAAGGCAGTCCACATGCATAGATATAGATATTGCAGATATAGATATAGAGACCACCACGTTTTGCTTAAATCTGAATATTGCACAGCGACAAGGAAAACGGCCTCGAACAAAACGATGCAAATACAAGGTAATCTGAATATTCACGCACCTTATTGTGTCGTATCTTGTGGTTTGGTCCTCAATCGTCTTCACTTGGTGTGTTACAGTGTGTTCATTCAGTCAGCGTTTCTTCACGTATTCTGCACGTACGCATACATCTATCGAGGTATTTTCCAACACCCAGCCATTCGTCTATTCCGGACAAAAACTTGCGCGCATGTTTCAATTAGAAGACCTCAGCAGCTCGCGCTCCAGAAGGCGTCCGAGGATTCTTTGCAGCTGCCGCTGCAAGTGCTCCTGAGGAAGCTCAAGCAAGGCACATCGAAACTCAAAAATGGGTGCGTAGGAGTAGAAGGAGCAGGAGCAGGAGGTGGGTACGCGTTTAAGGGAAGTGCAGGAGCTGCTGAAGCGAGAAAATGTACACCGGAGGGTTCCTGAGGAATGGCAAGCAACTAGGCCTGAGCCTCTTTGAACTTTGCAGACACACCACGCGAAAGAACATGTCAGGAACATACGTGTACTGGCTGGACAGGCATTTCTTGCTGTCGGTGAAACCTGAACTCTTCGGCCCAGCCTGAAAGCAAACACCTTACCTATGTGGAGTCTGCCACTGCGGCCTGGACGACTCATATAGTAACCGGCTTCAAAGCCCACGCACAAAGGCTCCGCAATGCAAGGCACAGGCGCCATCAGGCACTGTCAAGACGTACCAATGTCCGACGTGCGAGCCCCGAAGTTGCGTCATAGATCGTCCATGTCGATAGTCGACTCCTGTTGCTTGCGCGCAGCAGCTACAGCCGATTTGGGCAGAGGGGGCTTGGAGTTGGAAGGCGGAGCTGAAGGAGGCGGTGGCGCACTCGGAGCCGGCAGAGGGGCTGAAGGCGGCGGAGCCGGCGGAGGAGGTGCCACATGCCCGGCATAGGGCCGGCCCGGTGCCTCGGGTCGTGGCAACATGGGGTTCATGGAGGGCGTCATCATCGGAGGCCTCATGCCCATCATCGCCAATGGGTTGTCCATGACCATAGAAAATCCCATCATTTGAGCTCTCATCATCATCACCTCCGGGGTCATGTGCTTGGACTTGTTAAAGAAATCAGCATAGCCCAATAAGCTCTTCTTATCCTTCCGCCGCTTCTTTCGGCGCCGGGAGCGCTCAGAGCGTTCGGACTCCGACTCGAAGGAACTCGACCAGGACTCCGAGAGCGGCGGGGGCTCCCGGGGGGTGGGCTCCCGCTCCCGCCGGCGACGGCGCTCGAGGTCGGAGCGAGATCGGGAGGCGGTTTGAGATCCCTGTTTCTCCCAGATTAAAGAGGACCGGAGCTTTGGGAGGTTGGCTTCCAAAAACGCAGCCAAGGCCTCTTTTGGAGGGCTGATCTTCTTGCTGACGGACAATTTGGTCCGCAGATTCTTCTTCCAACAAAACTGTGCCCAAGCTTGCCGCCACTCCTCATCGCCTGAACGCAGGCCGCGCTTGATGAGTCGCATCATGAAGTTGGCATCCGAATAATCGATCTTGAAGTCTGCCATGTCCGGAAGTGAGCCATCGAGCTTCGGCTTGCCCATCGCCATCTGAGACATCTGGGCCTTCGTCGTGGGAGGGACAACAGAGCCTGCCTTCGGCTTGGTCCCCACGGCCTTGAAGGCCAAGGCAGCCACCGCTTCGAATCGAAGACGCACAATCCCATCTGCACCGCCGATCTCGAAGGCATCCAGGCGTGATAGCAATTGCCGCAGGGTTTCGGGCTGCAGCGAATGTGGTGGGCACTCCC